AATAATCGTTTGTTTGGACGGACTGGCTTTCACAGTAACTGTCCTTTGGCGTATAAAGACTAGGCACCCTGGACCAGAAAATCAATTGCATCTCGTCGTTTTCAGGATAGACATCAGGATGAAAGCAGCAATTTTTCTAACCTTCTTCTTAATTGGCGTGGCTTACTCCGTCCCCACATGGCAGGAAGAACACGGTAAGCATTATTTCTTTTGTTTTTTTGTATTTCTGTGCGTTTTGACTAAATATTGTGTTCTTAATCAAATCTGCACGACGAGGAAATCTGGGAACCCGCCGACCCCCAGCCACTCGTCGAACATCACGTCAGATTTAAAAGAGCGACCTGCGATTTGTTCAACTTCCAGTCTAAATGGGTGACACNTCATAATTTGACTGATGTCTTGACCAGATATTGTTTTTAAGATTTAAATGTCGTCTTAAAATCAAGAGGTCGTCTGGATATGACAACGACTTGACTTCATATCAGAAAATTACGAAGTGTTTGTTAATGGCAAACTTATTTAAACTATTTTTAAATAAATATTTTTTATGCCATCAATGTTATTACGTCAAAATCACCTCCTTTTTATACCTTTCTTCCAAATTAATTGAATATAACAACTACCCGTGGGGCGTCGATGGCCGCAAAGGTTTAGGCGTTGATAGGTGCTGTGAGGTAAAGGTCCCAGGTTTGAATCCAGCAGCCCGAACCCGACATACAAATGGAAGCTTTTTTTCAAAAACACCGGCACCCTGAGGGTTTATATGACCTCTGCTGTTGCCACAAATAATTAATAATTTTAAATATCCATTACGTTTTTACTAATAAAGCTGTGTTTGTCCAATACTATTTTCTTTTTCGTTTCGTACAAACCTCTTTCTTTTCGATATAAAAAAACTGATCTTTTGTATCTGCCGTTAAAAGTCTCTATACCATTAGGTATTTTCCGTAGATTAATTGAGAAGTAAAACCATATTCTCTCTCTCTCTTTCTCTCTTCCTTTCTCCCTTTCACTCACTCTCACTCTATGTCTGTTTCTTTCTTTCAATTATACCGCCCTATATAAGGTCATATTTATAACATACGCTCAAAGTGTAAGTGTATGTACATCAGTTATGTATTTTTAGTTAAACAAAGTCAGCGACGTATCACCTATTCGCTTAACATTAAAACTGTGTAAATCAATAGAAAACACAGATAAATTATTGTTGTTTTTTTGGTTATGTTGATTAAGATTCTGGTTATTAATGGAGAAACTGAGACCTAGTCAGGTAATAAATACCCTCATATGATTCTACAGGCTTAGTTTCAAAGGAATGTCATCAGTTTGAACACCAATCGGTTTCCTTTATTTATTTTTTTATTTACAAAAATTATCAATCTGTGTTCTTCTACTCTTCTACCGTTTTTGTTCTCATAATGTGCGCAAATATTGTTTTTAAAATTTACATTTCGTTCTAGTACCAAGCAGTCGCCTAGTTGTCTGGACGATGAACCCTTTTGTTGCGACTCAGTTTATATAAGAAAATATCGATATCTGATAATGGCAATTTTTTTAAATAAATTTTTTTATGTATTCGTTTTAAATGTCATCACCTTATTTTTTGAACAATAACTACATTTCTTACTTGTCTGATCATTTTATTCTACCAATCGCTGCTCGGTCTTTCTGCTAGATCAAAAGGATACTTAACTGCAAAGTTTCACATCGACAATAGTTTTCGTGGTTTCTATTTGCATTTGTATATAATAACTAATTAGACGAATGGCCAGTTGTGCAACTTAAACACGAAACAAAATTATTTAATTGTATTCATTTGAGTAAAAAATCAGTATTGAGGATAACATCGATTAATAAACTGCTCGAAGATTAATATTTGATTTTAATTTAATCGGTGATTTCCTTCATACGTCATGTTCACTGAAATGTTATTTATGATTGATGTTCTGACAAAAACTTATTGGTTTTTGATGTTCCTGAGAAAAAATAATACCAAATTAGAACAGAATACGAAAATTTTAATACTGCAGCCAGATCAATTATATGGTAGCACTACAAGCCTTGGGGCTGCAGTCAGGGTGTCAAGTTGTTGAAGCTGTGGACTTAGTTTATTTAGAGGCAGAGATATAAAGTTTGAAAGTGCAAACTAGTTTCATGTCGCTTCTTATAAAGCTGAAAAACAATTTCAAAAATAGTCAAAATATACCACGACAACAATCACTGCTTCAAAGACTGACTATTTCTTCTAGCATTGACTTTAAAAAAGAAAACACTTAAAAAGGAAAGATAATAATCCGTTGTTTCTAATACAGGTATTCTTCAAAATTAGGAGCGAAGTGCTGAACCATTAAAAAAATTATGTATAGCTTGCAGCTTAATTAGCAATTAATACCTTTTTTTTATTGAACAACTATCTGCGAGAGGCGCAAGAAATACATAAACTGTTCAAAATGAAGAGGGATATTTGTAACTTATTCTTATTCTATTAATTTTAATTACATTAGCCGATATATTCTTGTTAGTTGGATAAAGCAAAAGGGAACATGCAAACCAAAAACAAAGAAATGTTAATCTTAATTTCTTAATAATGGATTTACTTAAGAATAGTAAACATGAAGATTACTCAGAGAGAGAGAGAGAGAGAGAGAGAGAGAGAGAGAGAGAGAGAGAGANAAGAACATTGCTTTAAAGTAACTAGTTTCTTTTTTTTTGTTTAATACCAAAATCCTGCATTATTTTCCGGACAACCCAATATTACTAAATTTTTTATGATATATAATAAAGTTAATAACAGGCAGAACATAATTACCAACGTACAAACCGACGTGGGCGGTTGAGAGTTGGAAACCGAAGTTCAATCGAGGCCAACTTTGAACATTGATCATCCCTAAGAGTGATTTCCATTGGATTAGCATTACTTGCAAAATACGCATATTACAAATATAATAATTTATAACATGTTATAATCTAAATTGAACACGTTTTCTTAAATTACCATGTTGGTCGAAATAAAATGTACAAAAAAATGTTTTGCATTCATTTGATTTGACTTAAACCGGAAATTTATAATATTCATTTGAATTCCTTTTTCGTTTCGTCCTACGTACAACCTATATCCCTACATCCAGTACAAATTACGTTATCCGTTTGATTCAACCGAACTCAAATACCCAACAGATCACACAACTTTATACAGGCCCACCTATGTGTGGTGTTTAGTGACCGTTAGTCAATTCGGAGATCTAGAGAGTCTAGTCTGGTGAGACGTAGGTTTTCGTAATTATGTTGAATAGACCGTCGAACCTAAATGCGCGATTTACACCAAAGAAAATCCACCTGGTAGGCAGGATTGGACTTAATCGTTAAGGAAGGAGGTTTTATTTATTTATTTATTTTTTTTATATTTTTTTTTTATTGGCCTTATGATCTTGCATATTAGCCATAGTACGAATTCTTGTGTGTTCCAATTGGGGGTTATCGGGAAAAAAGGGCCAGAGGCGACGGTGGGAATCGAACCCACGACCGCGGCGTGAGAGTCTCTCATGCTAACCCCTCGGCTACCGCGGTCCCCCAAAAGGAAGGAGGTTAAATGCTTTCGGAATCGGTTGGAGAAATATTCGCATTATCGATTAAGGATTTTCACAAATATGGAACATTGGACTGGCAGCCACAGAATAACATTCTTAATATTATATTTCTTGTTATTATTAATGTGTGGTGTTTAGAGACAGTTAGTCAATGATTATTCGGAGATCGTGAGATTTGGTCTGGTGTGACGTCGGTTTTAGAAAAACATTTTCTTTATCGTGCAAACGTTTCGATCTTTATTGTGATCATCTTCAGGGCTCAAAGTGTTTGTTTTCCGTATAAATGTGTCATTCTTGTCTGTCGTGTTGAGAGTGCCCACACTTTGAGCCCTGAAGATGATCTCAATAAAGATCGAAACGTTGGCACGATAAAGAAAACGTTTTTCTAAAACCACATACACCAGACCAAATTTCACGATCTCCGAATAATCATTATCTTCACAGTTTAAAAATTGTTACGAAAAGAATAATCTTTTGTTAAAAACACCAGTGGATAAGGGAGGAATCGAACCCGCGACCGTCAACGAAATAGTGGCACCACATCTCCCACATCAACGACCCCACATTAAAAGAATAAACGTTAATAATTTGGATTGCATTATCTTAAATAGTTCTTGTATTAGATCACTGCTAGAGAAAGGCACAGGAAAATAGTATCTCATTAGGTAAGAACTGTTTTAAATGCATTCGAATCTGTTGAATTTTTTCGATGTCAAAATCTTTCTTTGTCCCTTCATTACTAATTTGTTTTTAAATATATGATTTCTTTTGAAATTCCGAGAGAAAATTTTAATCAATATTTCTTACTCAAACCAATGCTGACTCAAGAGTCTGGAAATAAAAAAGACCAAAAAACTTGGTCGGTAATCCTATCTGAACTAAATCAATTGATATCCAACGTCTTTTTCGTTAATTCACCATAAATTATCCTGTTTCAGATGAAGCTTTTTAAAAACATTTGTTACAGGTTTCTACTGAGAAAAAAGACTCTATAACTGTCAATTTTCGAAAATATAGATAAATGTTTTAAAATGTAATATTGTATTTACATTATTAATATGTTACAAATAATAAGTAATACATTTTGTTATCTCATCTGTGAACATCATCATTGAACATGTAGATTCTACATCTATCAATACCCTGTTCTTCCATTAGAAATAACAAGCGATAAATTATTATCAGAAGATAAGAGGTGACATCAAAATCAACTTTTGTACTTATCAAATCTAAGTGCATTTCAATTAATTAAAATCGAATCAATGTAAATTACAATTGATTTTTTTTACTAGATACTAATTCAAATAATAAATTTTTAAGTGTTACAGGTAATTTATTGATTTCAAGTATCAAAAAAAAATTGTGATTGGGTTTTAAACCGCTCTCCCACGGTATATAAATACTTGCCATATTGGATCAGGTAATTAATATTTCCTTGACGATTTCAGGATAGACATCAGGATGAAAGTAGCAATTTTTCTAACCTTCTTCTTAATTGGCGTGGCTTACTCCGTCCCCACATGGCAGGAAGAACACGGTAAGAATTATTTCTACTGTTTCTTGTATAGCTGTGATGATGTTTTGACCAAATATTTTCTTCCTAATCAGACCTGCACGACGAAGAAATCTGGGAACCCGCCGACCCCCAGCCTCTCGTCGAACATCATGCCAGATTTAAAAGAGCGACCTGCGATTTGTTCAGCTTCCACTCCAAATGGTTGACACCTAACCACGCAGCATGTGCAGCTCACTGCATAGTTTTGGGAAACAGAGGAGGGTATTGTAAAGGCACAATCTGCCATTGCCGCAAATAATTAATAATTTTAAATATCCATTACGTTTTCCTAATAAACCTTTCATAAATTTGACGAACTTTAATTTTTTTCTTTTTTTAAAAACCTATAATTCTCTCTCTCTCTCTCTCTCTCTCTCTCTCTCTCTCT